GACAGACTTTATGATACAGCGCGTGCACGCTACCCATTCAGCCATCCAACCCCCCTTGGCATAGAAAAGGAGATGCTGAACATTATTTCAATTACCATGTGTAAATCCTAAAATAACCTAATTTGTGTTGAGTGGATGTTAAACCATTTAGCCTGCTTGATTATCAAAAAAACAGAAAAGATGAAATTCTGACAAAAGAAGTCAGATTTTGAAGATTTGAACAAAGTTTATTTAATCATGATGTTTGAGTTGTTACATCATGTTATAATTATCAAGACATGATGATAGAGTTGTTACATCTTGTTATAATTATCAAGTGCATGATGTTAGAGCTGATCCATCATGTTATAATAATCTGGTGTTGGAGCTGATACATCATGTTATTATCCCTGAATATATTGACTGAGTTCAATAATGAGCATTCTTTCTTAGGTTCGGGAGCTATCTGTCGGTCTGTCTGTCCATTACAGTATTTTTTTTTAACGCAACAAGCCTGTTTTGTTGGTAGGGATATTGGTGCTTATTTTCATAGTAGTATGCTTATGACTACTCAAGTCAATGAAATCTGTACAATATTGCTAAAATACATAAATATGAATCCTTTGAAGTTACCAAAACACTATTATGCATTTATCAACCCCCGACTTCCAGAGACGGCAAAATTTTGAAGTCTGCCGTACTTTATCACACTGGCTACCTACTGTTTATTGCACAGATTTTAAGACTTTACATGCAAATGTTTAAATAACATTGTCCCTGCACATCTATCTGACTTGTTAAAAGTTTACATGCCCTGAACAGACCTTCAATGGTCATCTGGAAACTCTCTTTTACCTTCAAGATCTGTAAACGAGAACGCTTTTTTTCTTGTTGGTGCAAAAAAATAGGACATCAAACCCCATTCCATTTAATTTCATTTTTCGCATCAAGCTCCAAAGCTTTGCCATAAACTTCCACTTGCTATTAAAAGCAGTCCCTTGGTTGAAGCATTCAAGAAATGGTATGAATGTTAACTATTTTATTACCACTTTTATCTGATGTTTGTTTTTATTTTCGACTTTTTTATACAATTATATTACAATGTTTTTAGAGCTTTATATTTATGTTTCAAGCTCTATAGATATTTATATATATATTTGATTATACTAATTCAATATCCTATTGTCACTTATACAGTGCCTTATACAGTGCTCTATAAATGTTGTATAATAAATAATAAATAACAATAAAAAAGTAGTAGTAGTAGTAATACTGCCAGCTTTAATGCTTATTCGACACTTGATTAAACATGGTTTTTATCGCCATGGTTATGTGTGCAATGTATGTGTTGGATGATTTTTCGGGGGGTTGGATGGCTGAATGGTTAGCGTGCGCGCGCTGTATCATAAAAGTCTGTCATTGAGTCGACTGGCATGGTTTCGAATCCTCTGTTGTACGTGGCAAGGAGTAGGGTCGCCTGTCCAACCTCGTGGGTTTTCTCCGGGTCCTCCGGTTTCCCCCCACTGCTAAAGACCCCTACGCGCAAGCGAATTATGTAAATAAAATTAAACCATATGTTAGTCCCGAAATGACCTAGTTTGTGTCGAGTGGACGTTAAACCCCATTTCTCTCTCTCTTTGGATGATTTTTCTTGGACGGTGACATTTTGGACTGCTATTCTTTGGTTTCCAACTGTCAAGTGATATTTTATATTAGTAAATAGGACAACCTAAAGACTAAACACTAGCCCCGACAAGTGAGAACCAGTGTCCCCTACAGCCCCTAGACAATCCTCAAAGGCACCATCCCTGACAAGTGTGAACCTGTGTCCTAACTACCCTGAAGCTCAAAGACACCATCTCTGACAAGTGTGAACCAGTGTCCTAATTACTCTGCAGCTCCATGACAATTCTCAGACACCATCCCTGACAAGTGTGAACCAGTGTCACTGGGCAGTGTCCTAACCCTACAGCCCCTAGACAATCCTCACAGACACCATCCTTGACAAGTGTGAACCAGTGAGAACTTGTGTCCTAACCCTGCAGCCCCTAGACTATCCTCACAGACAACATTCCTGACCTGTGAAAAACAGTGTCCTAACCCTGCAGTCCCCATGCTATCCTCAGAAACACCATACGTGAGAACTTGTGTCCTAACCCTGCAGCCCCTAGACTATCCTCACAAACAACACTCCTGACCTGTGAGAACCAGTGTCCTAACCCTGCAGCCACTGGACTATCCTGACAGACAACATCCCTGACTTGTGATAACCAGTGTCTTAACCCTGCAGATCCTAGATTATATAGACTTACATGTAAAACATTATTGAACATAATTATGTGATATGTTATTTATTAGGCCGGGAGAGGTGGACATGTCTAATGTGTGTGCTTCAGATCATAAGGTGTGTCATTGAGTCAAATGGTGTGCCTTGAAATTTGGTAGTCCTCACCATAAAATGCTGTAATAATAAAACTAACTATATGTAACCTGTGCTGGTAAATTGCGTTATTGTTATTTTCACATTCTCCGCCTTAATACCTTCAAAATAATGTATGGCTGGTATGAATTGGGCGAAAATTGACTGGGCTATATCCGTTTGAAGTTGCCCAATTCGGAAAAGGTAGTTTTGACAAAAGGCAAGTTAAAGAAGTTGGTATGTTCTAAAACAAAATCACATAGCAACCATGCCATATATTTGTTGTTTTTTCATTTAATATTTGTCTTGGTGTTATAAATTAAAACAAAAGAGAATATTCCATACATTAGTAATATAGGTTTTGTATATTATAAATTTTATGGGAATATAACTTCTGTTAATCTCACCAATTAATTAGCACCTTTGTATTGGTGCTCAGGAGATTAAGATTGTTGATTGGGTAATCAAGTTTAGTTTCTTGATTATCAAACAAGCTGCCACAGCTCTACATGTGTTCTATTATCATCGTCACATGACTCAATTAAAATAAGGTTTTGCGTGTACAATACGTCTACTGTTATTTTCAGGTAGCATAATGGTATCAGAATCTGTACCCCAAATAGAATGATGAACGTAGCCATGATACCAAAATACACCACAGGGGGTGTCTGGGTCGAGAATATTTACTTATTGTATGGGTTTTAAAACTTGTTTCTATTCATTAAAATTGGGATTATCGGTAATACTTTGGCTATATATATATAAACTAGAGATTCACGACTTCACGTCAATGCCAAGTATTACGTCAGGAGATTGACCGGTCCTCCCGTTGCATGCGTCGAAAAATAACTAAAATTGTTCTCACAATAAAAGGCTGTGATAAAACTGAAGTGTAATGACCATAGTATATGTGATGCAAACTATATTAAAATTTAAACAATATGTTAGAAACAGCTGGTTAAGTTAAACATGACATGAGATTGTTGTCTACTTTGTGCTTAGGTATGCAAGATTTTGTTCTTATTCCGATAAATAAAAATGATGTACAGTTGCACATTTTACATCATAACTTGCTATATATGGAGAATTTTTTTTTCAATAATTATTTACTTTTCTACAAAAACAAGGAATATTGATCATGACATGTTGTCATATGTTCTCCTTTTATATTGTTTTTTCAGGTTATTTCTCTCAGGCAAAGGTTTTAAATAAATGCAGCTCTGTGATGGTTAAGCACATAGGATGCTGGACTGTTGTCTAGAACAGTTCAAGGGTTCCGCAAGATAACATTTGTATACAAAATTCAATTATCCAACATGTCATAAAACCCAAATTCCAGAGGATACTGGAGTCTAAAAGCAGAAGCATTCTTCCCATTAGGAAATCTTTTTATTTTTGTTGAACTAATTATGTATTAATTTACAAAATTTATGGTATTTTTTATTGTTAATACATTTTTAATTAAATATTAGTTCTCTCTTTATCTGGGAAGCCACGGTGGCTAAGTCGGTAAGACGCTGGCTCACTAGCCCGAGGGTCATGTGTTCAATCCCGGCATTGGCTAAGAAAGTTCATCAGGATTTTCCAACGTGGTTTCCCCTTGTCAGTGATGCAGGACAGAGGGCCTGACAAGGACAGCTGTCTAGTCGTTTGGATGGGATAAAAAACCGAGGACCTGTGTATACATTGGCATGCATGTAAAAGATCCCTTGGCAGTTGGAATTCGATATAAGGGTAGGCCATAGTGCCGTTGCTCAGGCAAAAATTTCCCACATAGCACACAATATGGCATATGCCCATCTTCATTAGCCCAGTATAGAAGCAGAACAGTAGTACGTTAAACCCCATTTCATTTCATTTCAGTTCATTTTTCTCTTTATCTCACATTTTGTGGTTCTTAATATTTATTCTTTTTTAATGTTAGAGATTCATACAAGCTTTTTTAAATTAATGTAAACAAAAATTTGGGAACCACTGGTCTAGAAAATCCTGGGTTAAAATTGGTGTGGACTGAAAATAATTCTTGGGATGTTCCAAGACCAGTTCCCACAAGAAAAGGCTGACATGGTAGGTGTTACATAGTTGTTCAGGTAGGTGAGTTGTTACACATTCAGCTTGCATAATCAATGGCATATTTATTTATGGTAAAAACATTGTTTTAGAACTAATTTTGGGGTTCCATTAATATTTTGGGCCTGGGCATTAAAACATACACAAATTAGCACTTGGCAGTTGTGATTCAAAGAATAATTAGGAAAATAATGCCGCTGTCTAGGAGAAATTCTCATCCTTCACTGTGTTAATCTCAAAATTCTGTTCCTTTATAACAGTTTCGAAACGATCTAAGTACTGTGTCTACATGACAATAAACCCATATTGTTTCTCTCAAACACACCTTTTCTCTAAGCCACACTCATCCACCTATTTCCTGGCACTCTGTTGTTTTGTTGGCCACCCACCCTCTCTTCTATCATGTTATAATTACCTCCCTCCCTCCCTCACTTTATTCTCTAAGCCATCAATAAACACGAGAAAACACCGTGTTTTAACTTATAGTGTTAGAAACACAGCATCCGAGGTATAGCAGTAGAAACCGTGAGAGAAGGATCTAGTGTAACGTAGAGAGAGAGAGAGACTAGGGTAGTATTGAACTGCCAGTCAATCCAATATAACAGATCTATAGGATAGTATAGTGAGATAGCCTTTAGTCTGTCAATCTGTTGGTAACATCAGTGTAACAACACATGGCTATAATAGAATTCTGCTACAACGCTAGTAGTAGTAATATGGTCGAAACACACCAGGAATGAATGCCACAAACTTTGTATCAAGCCACAAGGCTTTAGTAGAACAACAATATTGAAGTAATTCAAAGTTAAGTGATACAATGTTGCAGTAATTAAACTTAAGTGATACAATATTGCAGGGATTCAAACTTAAGTGATACCAATTTGCAGTAATTTAAACTTCAATTAAACTTGTTGCAGTGCCAGTGAATAAAACTTAAGTGATACAATGTTGCAGTATTTAAAGTAAAGTGATACAATGTTGCAGTATTTAAACCACAGTGATACAATGTTGCAGTAATTAAAAACTTTAGTCAGAAAGATTAGCAACAACTAATTCTTTTATGAAAAAAGTAAGTTTTCTAAAGAACACAATTTGATTGAAAAGTTCTACTAAATGTCCTCTATTCAAAGATTTATTTTAATATAAATATAGTGATATAAGACAGTATTCTACTAAGTTTCACATCAAACTGTGATAAATCTACAGGACATAGGAGCAGTGAAAGATATCTTTTTTTAAAAAATAAAAAGGAGTAAAATTAACAATGGAATAAATCACTTGCACAGGTAATACAATTTAGGGGAAAGGGAGAGGACATGTATTTATTTAATAAAAAAAGGGGAGAGAGGGGATTTATTGAATGAAATTGGGTAATCAATCATAAAAAGTGTGAAAGAAGGTCAATATGATCATACTTCAGAAAATAAATGAGTGTAGCCATCCTAATGAATTAACTGTTAGAAACAGCTCACAAATATTCATTTCATTAATATAGGAAAAATAACAAATTTCCATATTTTCAACCAAAAAAAAATATATATATGGATGAGAGTTCTGAATGGATGAGAATTCAGAATTCAACATTAGTTGTTGTCTTTTAAAAAAGAACTGTAATGTTGTCCATGGCAAAGCTTCATGGCTAGTGTTACTAGACTGAAGTTAAAATTTCTGGTGCAGAAACATATATACATGCTGAGGATTAAATTAATATTTGATAAAAAATGTGAATTGTACATAGCAAACAGAGGTTTAAGTACTGAAAACTATAGCAACAACATAGCAAAAACCTGTGTTAGCTATAGTTATTAAGTAATATATAATATATGTTGTTACATTAAAGGCTCAATACCACTCTTGTTGTAACTGAATAATATGTCCTAATCTTTATTCTGGTCAACAAATTGTACTATTTTACAATATTCCAATTAATTGATGATACAAATTTCATTTTAACACACCTAATTTAAAAAATTGGAAAAATTCAACTAAATGATTTGAAAAGCCTGACGTAAAGCTTTTCAAATGTGACTTGGATTTAAAAATATCTTTGAACCCTCTGGACAAGTAAAATAAGATTTAATGGATAATTTACACAACAGGTAAGACACTAACACATCTAGTACTTAGAATAAAATAGGGCTATTTTTTTATTTTCTGGAGCTGTCAAGTCAGCAAGAGTGTTATTGTCCCTTTAAGCATAAACTCAAGAGACTTCAATCATCAGCAAGATATCAATTCGGACATGGGTAAATTACTTTAACTTAAACCAAAATTGAATAATAACTGAAATATCTACACTATAACAAGGAAGAAAAGCTTGGTATTTGAAACTAGTTATTAGTTATATTCTGGTTCCATGATTTCAATAAGAATTTCTGGTATGGAGTTCACTTAAGTCATATGCATGGACAGTCCTATTGTGTTGCCTTAAGGTTATGTATGATACATGTATTAATTAATGATGTCCAGTTTATGGTCTGTCATGTTCCTTCAGGATATGCTTGTGGCAAATAATTTTCTTGGTCAGAATTTGGTCTTTTGGTATCATAGGCTTACAGGAGAACTAGATAAAAGTGAGCTGAGCATAAATTCAAACTTCCTGAATTTTTCTTTTTGTTTGAAAAAATTGACTGACTTTCGTCAGAATTAGACGGGTGATCACAGATTCAATTTTCCAGAATTTCTCCATTTTTGAAAGAATAGCAAGAAGTGACTTTTTAAGTTTTTTCAGAAAATATAAATATTGTTTTAAAATATTAGCAAGATACTTTGTACTATAGTTTGGAATATTAGCCTTGAACCTTCTTCCTCTTTTAATTTGCCCCCTACTATTCATTTGCGGCGAGAGGGAAGGGTCAAAACGGTATTGCTCACTTTGTCTGAAACACTGCAGAGCCAGCAAGTCAAGTTCATGATCAGTTAAAATGTTGCGAACAACATGGGACGGAAAGTAAAAACTTTGCAAATAAATTTCTGAAGGCATTTAGAGAAAATGGTTCACCCACCAAAATACTGGCCAATATAGATACAATTGTAATGATTGCCCAAATCTATGACTGTCTTGCTTAAATTTTCAGTTGCACTGCTTTGGTATAAGAATAACCAAGCAATTAAGTATATAAGTGATGTCATGTCATTATTTTTTCAAGAAAAGCTGTACAGACTCTGTAAAATAATACTATAAAGAATTTTCTTGACCACAGTGGTCTCATCTCTTGGACTTAGTCCTTGTGATTCAAAATCTAAAAAGACCATACTTTTTAATGTTTAAAATTTCAAAACTTAAAATGGAGAACTTTAAGACTTTGAGAAGAGATATAACAAGCAAGTACTTTTTGTTTGTAAATAGACAATAGAGTAAACGTGGAATCAGTTTGATATGTCCATGAACTTATCCTCTTCAATGGACACCTGAGTCTACTTCAGTATTTACTTCAGTTATCTTTGATTAACCACGATGATTTATTACTTACAGTTAAACGTCCACTCAAGGCAAACTAGGTTAATTAGGATTGAACATATAGTGAATCTTTAGCAGTGAGAGGAACCTCAGGAACCGGTGGAAAAGCCACAAGGTTATATAATTAGGCATCCAACATTACTCTTTGTCACATATATTAAGATCATGACATTTGACCATTCAGACATATGACTCCCCCATCTTGATTTAAGTATATTATCCATCAACATGTATATTCTTTCAATATGGGATTGATTTTTTGCCCAAAACAATTCAATATGCCATTCATTTATTGATCTAAAACAAACTGTAAAATGATAAATAATTCACCTTGCTCTCTAGCAATCAATGACTTAAGTATTGATATTTAAAGGGAGAGAGAGAGAGAAATGGGTTTAACGTCCACTTGACACAAACTAGGTCATTTCGGGACTAACATATGGTTTAATTTTATTTCAATAATTCGCTTGCGTGTAGGGGTCTGGTATTTAGCAGTGGGAGGAAAACCAACAAGGTTGGACAGGCGACCCTATACTCCTTGTCACGTACAACCGAGGGATATTTAAAGGGATAACGTCAATAAAAGTTTTTCAAAGTCATACTAGTTCAAAAAGTCATACAACAAAAATAAAAAAGTTTATTACATTTACCCCATACTATAATGGTTCAGAAAACAATAAAACATGAGCTGATATAAGGCACAACCATTTGAAGTTTACATTAGTTACTTTCGGTGTCCTGCCATCACCTTTATGCGTAATATGAAATGAAATGAAATGGGGTTTAACATCCTACTGTTAAGACGGTAGAAATAGAATTCAACGAACAATCCAGCACCACACTGACTCACTAAGCCACCATGACTTTTTGAGTTTATAAAGACATCTTATTGACAACTTCCTGCTAACAAAAGAGAAGAATGTTTAATATTAAGACCAATGACAGCCTATTTAAAGTTAACCTATTTTTTTTCTGATTCAACCAGAATTAAGAAATCGATGCTTGTTTAGATAATGTTATCAGTGTTAAAAAAGAACTAAAAATGTGAGATACAACAAATGTATACTGGCGAGTGTTTTGTAGAAAATTGTTATATTCTGTAAGCTAGAGTTTACCAAGATATCAATAAGTTTATATTATAGTAATGAATTCTGTATTAAATTAGGGAGCCACGGTTGATCAATGAGTATGGCACTTATTAACTGAAGAGTCCAGGGGAGAAACGATCTAAGTCACCTTTTTGTCTTTTCGCATAAAAGGCAAAACAGACTTTTGGTCGAGAATACTTGACGCGAACAGAACAACGAGTGGGTTTAATTACAACTTCAAAATGATGTTTAATATGAATTATAATTACTAGTACAACAACTGACTTCCATTTTTCAGCCAAATTAAGGTCAAATAAATACGATGGACTTGTATTTGTCCTGGAGGCTATTTTCAGAAGGGCCTTGGTTCGATGGGACTCCGATCGTTTTTACCTGAAATTGATTGTTCCACAGAAAGCTTATACAATTTGCTACCAGATGGCGCCATTAACTGGGGTTCATTGAAAAAGTGACTTAGAATGTTCTTCCCCGGGGCTCTTCAACTAGGATAGGTGGCTCAGTGAAACCGAGTGAGTATATGGCACTAGGTTCCATGTTCAATCCTGGTGTTGGTCTAGAAAATTTCCCAAAATTTCAGTTTGGTTCCAAGTGTCAGCAAGTGCAGGACAGAGGGCCTGGCAAGGAACAATGTCTAGTCATTCAGATGGTATGAAAAACTGTTGGTGGCCTTATGGCTGGATAGTCTTTATGTCTTGGAAATATCAAAGGTCACCGGTTTTCATCCCAGCATGAGCTATACCTGCCACAATCTGAACAAAATACCACCAAAATTCACTCTTATTGGTAGTATTATTATGTCTATTATAATATTATCACAACACATATATAATGCCATCTTTTTCACCAAAATGGTTTGATGAGCTTTATATACAAACTATCTGAATGATAAATTTACATGAAACGAAGTAAATATATTTGAAAGAAGATAATGTGAAACACAAAACACATAAATTACATCACAGTAAGAAGTATATGAATATCAACTGAATAATTGTGAAATAATCGATGTCTCTTAAAAACAGCTAATGACTCCATTAGTAAATAAATACCTGTAGAAATAAATGGGTATTTTTTCTATTTCTTCAACATAGCTATAGATTCATTAATGCGTAAAAGTAAAATAAAGACTGTTAGATAGTTTTGGAGCTTGAGCACTTAAAGACCTTCTGCTGGTTGATACAAGTTTTACTTTAAAAATTAAAGGGTATATTCTCCTCAGATCGCATCAAGATACTAAGATTTAATCTTTACCAAACTTTCAAGACTCTTCGAGTCACCATTTCTCTCTCTCAAGGGGCTGGCCTTTTCTAATACAACAGACGTCTTGGGAGAATATTGCTAGAATTATTCCATGGTTTCATAGTCTGATTAATTTGGTTTGTAAATCATAAACTTGTCAGGCTTAATGTAAATAATTTTCAATAGATGATCTGTTTAAGTAGTTCCAGTCTTAAGATTTTCCCTAAGTGATCTGTTACTAGTAATAGTGGGCTGTTTAGACAGAGTCCATATAAGCTTGGCTGTATGAATATTTCAGATTTTCCTTAAGGTGGCCTGTTTAGAGAGGGTCCATGTAAGAGTTCCATACGTGGCCTGTTTAGAAAGGTTTGACTGTATAAGTATGAAAGACGTGTAAAGAATATTAAGTAGTTATAAGTAGATATATGTGTATAGATATGTATCAAAGTAGAAGCAGAATAACTGAAGTATATAAACA